CCCCAAAACCCCAAAACCCCATAAACATAGATAAGTTAATTATAATTGATTGAATTATTTAATTAATAATACATATTATAAATTTGAACTAAAATCATACATATATTAATGGAAAATAGTTTCGCGTCCTAAACCCTTACCGGAGGTAACTCAACTGACAGAAGGAATTTCAATAGCAATCTGAACAGCAATATTAAATCTGTAGCGATGACTATTTTGGGGCCGACAAACAATATGAGTATTATAGAAAGCAAGCAGAATCCAAAGTCTAATGATAATAGTTTTATGAATATGCAATAAGCAAATAACTCAACAAACATTGACGACTACAGCATGTCTCTTGATTTTGGAGGAAGTCCGTACAGTCTACAGAACAACAAGCAGCTAAACTAAAGTTTTAAGCTTCCGAGTAACAGTATGCTTATTAATAGCAGCTAGACATATGGATTGAATGAGGATCTCTCTGTTTCATTCAAGAAATATGATCAGCAATAATTCTAAGGTAATTAAGGAATACAAAAAGTTGTACCCTCCACTCTTGATGGCTAATACGGATAGTAATAACAGTCTCCATATCGAGATTTTTCAGTCGATAAGCTCAACTAAAGACACAACATACCTTCTTCTGGCGGAACCAATCTCCAGCAAGATATAAACAGTTCGACGAAAAATTTAAATCCTTAAATGAGTACACCTTATCATACTTACAAAGAAGGGGCTCATCAAATTAAAAATCACGGAGCAGCCATGCTGAGAAACCACATAGGAGTAAACTAAAACATCATAATGCTAAACAACTAGGGCTAGTCTGGTCAGACTAGTATAAAGGCTAGTATTAATGGAGGTCTAGCCTTGCCTCCATCTATTGGGTCCACTAATATTGTACATTCAAAGAAAATTTTCTAGGAAAACAATGTCCTGTAAAGCCCAGGTCTCATGAATTAAAATAAGAAGTCCTCGATATTAGACAACATCTAACCTATCAGCATTGATAAGGGAAATATGATGATGTCATAGGCACCGTAGTAAAACTTGAATAACTCTCAAATGAATGCAACAATGACTGGAATGTTCAATCAAGGTTAATAAAATTCATAGTAATAATAGATCTCTTCGAATTTTACCTCGCCATTGATAAATTCAACTAAGCATATGGGTTTGAATGATATCTCAACAACTAGACCCAATTAAGGCGTATAAAACTATAAATAACAAGAAAGGCAGCTCTAGAGCTTTGCCAACAAAGAATTAGATGACTTCCTAAGAGAAGACTATACATAGAATAATAAAAGAAATTATTGAAAATTAACTAATAATTTAAGATTATGTATTTGATCCCCGAATAAGCCATTGAGTCGAAATAGTTAGTTTTATAATCGACTGCTATAGGCTTAAGTCGCTTATTCTTAATGTTTATCCAGATGCTAACTTAATATATTTTTTCATAAAGCTTATATCTCAATATTTTTGTCTATGGGGTTTTGGGGTTTTGGGGTTTTGGGG